AATTATTTTAATGCAAAGGCTAGACATTGTACCATTTCTTTTTTTTTAAAGATTTTATTTATCTATTCATGAGAGACACACAGAGAGAGAGAGAGAGAGGCAGAGACACAGGCAGAGGGAGAAGCAGGCTCCCTGCAGAAGCTGGGACTCCCGGATCACACCCTGGGCCAAAGGTAGGTGCTAAACCACTGAGCCATTCAGGGATCCCAACATTATACCATTTCATTGGTAAGTACATGAGTATAAGGACAATTTTTTTTTTACATAACCATAACACCATTATGGCATCCAGCAAAATTAACAATAATGCCTTGATACTATATAATATCCAACAAGTATCTAAATTTCCCTAATTGATTCACAAAAGTCTTTCTATAGATAATTTGATTCATGAGGCAAACAAGATCTACACTGCATTTGATTGATACATATATATTTTTAAGATTTATTTATTTACTAGACAGAGAGAGAGGAAGACAGTGAGAGAGAACATGATTAGGAAGAAGGGCAGAGGGAGAGAATTTTAAGCAGACTCCCCGTTGAGTGTGGAGCCCAACATGGGGCTCAATCTTACCACCTGAGATCATGACCTGAGCTAAAACCAAGAGTTGGATGCTTAACCAACTAAGCCACTCAGACCCTCTGGTTGGTAATTTCTTTTTTTTAAGATTTTATTTATTTATTCATGAGAGACAGAGAGAGAGAGAGAGAAGAGAGAGAGAGAGAGAGAGAGAGAGAGAGAGAGGCAGAGACACAGGTAGAGGGAGAAGCAGGCTCCATGCAGGGAGCCTGACGTGGGACTCGATCCCAGGACTCCAGGATCACGCCCTGCATCAAAGGCAGGCGCTAAACCGCTGAGCCACCCAGGGACCCCCTGGTTGGTTTATTTCTAAACCTCTTATAATCCACAATGGTTCTCTCCCCTCCCCATTTTTCTCTACATGTATTTGTTGAAGAAACTGGGGCGTTGATTCTATTTTATTTGATTACATTCCTGATAGTGTTGTTCAATATATTTTCCTATTTCTCATATGTCCTGTAAGCTGATAGTTATATTTAGAGTTTTGTTTTTTGGCAAGAGTCCTTCATAGATAATGCTTTGTACTTCCTATTGTATCTCATTAAGAAGCAGATAATGTTTGGTTGTTTCTCTTTTCATGATGTTAAGTTTTATCAGCGTACACACATGGAACCAACTTAATTTACCTATAAGCCTCTTACATAATGTTTCTGACAGTCATTGATGACTATTGTCTGGGTTAATTATTTCATTGGAATTGTAAAATAATAACAGTAATTTATTCCCTCTGCATTTATTAGCTGGAACTCTTCTATGAAGAATAAATTGCTTCTTAAACTATTTAGTTACTTTATCTATTTGGTTTTTAGTTTAAAATGTTATTTTTGGGAAGCCGAGTGGCTCAGTGGTTTAGCACTGCCCTCAGCCCGGGGTTTGATCCTGAGATCTGGGATCAAGGCCCACGTCGGGTTCCCTGCATGGAGCCTGCTTCTTCCTCTGCCTGTGTCTGTGCCTCTCTCTCTCTCTCTCTCTGTGTGCCTCATGAATAAATAAATAAATAATCTTTAAAAAATAAAATGTTATTTTTTTCATTTCTAGAAACTAATTTTATTTTTTAAAGATTTTATTTATTTATTCAGGAGACACACACACACACACAGAGGCAGAGACACAGGCAGAGGGAGAAGCAGGCTCCCTACAGGGAGCCCGATGTGGAACTCGATCCTGGGTCTCCAGGATCACAACCCGGGCTGAAGGCAGATGCTCAACTGCTGAGCCACCCAGGCTGCCTGCATAATTATTTTATAATCTGTGTTAGACAATTACAATATATGAAGTCTTCAGTGCATTTTTTCATTGTCTTCTACCTTCCAGTGTGGTAAGTCTAATGCTGTGCTGATTTTTTTAAAAAAATATTTTATTTGTTTGAGAGAGAGAGAGCGAGAGCGCGCGTGCACAAGTTGGGGGGGGGCAGAGGGACAAGTAAACTCCCTGCCAAGGGCAGAGCCCAATGTGAGGCTAGATTCCAGGACCCTGAGATCATGACCTGAGCTGAAGTCAGATGCTTAACCGACTGAGCCACCCAGGTGCCCCTGTTCTGATTTTTGATCCTGATATGCAACTTGTTCTTTCTCTCTGGAAGCTTTTAGAATTATTTCTTTGTGTCCAGTGTTCTGAAATTCTATAATGACGTGTCTTGGTGCGGGTCTGATCTGTTTTGCTGGATAGCGTGCCTTTATAATTTAGTCTCAATTGTTCATTTCAGGGGAATACTTTTGAATAATTGCTTTAATTGTTTCTTCCCTTCCGATTCTTTGTTCTCTTTCTATAGCTCTCATTATTCAGATATTCAATCTTCTGGACTGGTCCTCTAATTTTTATGGATTTTCTCCTTAAGTAGAGCAAATTTGATTTTCAATTTTATTCTCCAGTCTTTCTTTTTTTTTTTTATTTCCCTAGGCAAAGAACTTTATTAACCTTGTTTCAAACTTTATTCCCAGGCTTCTTCTGCTTAATTAGCCGCAAAGAATGAATTGTGTATAAGCAAAAACTGAAAAGAGCTGCAGGGTCCAAGGGGCTTGGGCTTGAAAATATTAGAGATGTAGATTTGATCAGATCCATGAAGAAAATTTTTAAAAGCAGCCATAATATAAAATAGCAGCTCCCAGTAACTTCTTCAAGTTTTATCTTCTTCAGAAGTTGACTCAATTCAGTTTGCTTCATTCTCGGAAGCATCATCAAAATTCTCCACAAGATCTCGAACTTCATCATCATCATCCTCTCCAGTAGCAAGAGGTGCTTTTGCATCCACAGATTGTGTGGCCAGAGCTTCAGCCAGTCTTCCTAAACTAGTCAGACTGTTGCACCAAGCTGGTTTAAGATCCTGGGTAGCATTTCTGCCAGCTGCTTTGTCTCCGTGTGGCCTGGGGTGGTGAACGTGTTCCCTGCCAGCGATGCCTGAGTTGTTAAAGTGGATCACTGTTTCTTGGCTGGTGAACATATTCACTTCTTCAATACCAGAGATACTGTTTATTCCTAACTTCTTTAAAGAGAACTGAAGCTTTTTATCATCTGCTATAGCTGTTCTATGAACCTTCTTTCTTTTAAAAGAATTTATTATTTTTAAATAATAATAATAATTTTATAATAATTTATAATTATTTAAGATTGTATTTATTTATTCATGAGAGACACAGAGAGAGGCAGAGACACAGGCAGAGGGAGAAGCAGGCTCCACACAGGGAGCCCGACATGGGACTCAATCCGGGTCTCCAGGATCATGCCCTGGGCCGAAGGCAGACACTTAACCACTGAGCCACCCAGGTGCCCTGAACCACCTTCTTCCTGTGAGCAGTTCCTTTGCCACCAATGTGCACAAGTGCTTGCAGTCTGGCGAGTTTCTCCGGGTTCATGATAGTGTCTTTCATCTTGCTGGAGGGGAAATGGGACCGTGCAAGGGAACCGGCTTGGTGCTCAGGGGTGTCGGGGGGGGGGGGCCCAGGTGAGATTAGGTGCACACACTCGGGGATGCAGGATGGCAGCTAGAGGGAGGCTGGAAGTTCTAGTCTTTCTGTTGAATTTTTATTTCTGCAATCGTGGTTTTGATTTTCAAAAATTTGTTGTTGTTGTTGTTGTTTTCTCCATAGCACTTCCTTTCTAGGGATGCCTGGGTTGCTGAGTGGTTGAGCATCTCCCTTTGGTTCAGGGAGTGATCCTGGGGTCCTGGGATCGAGTCCCACATTGGGCTCCCCACAGGGAGCCTGCTTCTCCCTCTACCTGTGTCTCTGCCTCTCTCTCTCTCTCTCTCTCTCATGAATAAATAAATCTTTTTAAAAATAGTAGTTACCTTCTAAATAGCTTCCTGTTGTTGTATTATGATAATATATTATCTCTCTGAGGATAGTAATGATAAATTTTGTTTTTTTTTTATTTTATTCTCCCTTGTAATTTCTGCTTCTTCCAAATTGCTTCTCCCCCCCCACCCTCCCCCCGTCCCCTTCTTGTCTGTTTTGGTTTCTTTCTTGTACACTAAGGGATTTCCTTAAATGTCTAATGATCCTTGGCTGCCTACTTATACTTTAGAGGACATTAAAAAGCTGATTGGAAAAACTATGTGAGAGCTGGGACATGTAGGCCAGGAGCTTAATTGTAGAATTCCTTCGACTCTTTGATTAACATAACCCTAATGAATCTCTGGGACTTCTCTTTTGGACTGGTCATATTCCCCAGAGAAGTTTTTCCAAAAGTATAATCATGCTCTTGTTGATTTTTGTTTAGGAGTTACCATTCCTTCATTTGTTTTCTAGCTTCTAAAATATTGCTGCTGTTGTCTCCTTTCCCTTTCGGGGCCTGGAGGATAGTGCGGGCATTTGCCCCCCACCCCTAGGCTTTAGTTGGAAGCCTCCGTTATTTCTTTAGGATCATTTCATTGGAGGACAACTATGGGATCATCGTGTAGAAAGGTTTTGACACAGATTACTAGATTGCCCTAAAGTTGTATGTATACATGAAAGGAGAATGCTTTTACATAATTGTTTTTGCAACAAGTATTCAGTAACTTTCCTGGGAATTGCTTGCACTCACCCATCGGCCTCAATCCTCCACCTGGCGGGGGCAGGCTACCATGCAAGAAACGACTAAAAAAAAGAGAGGGAGCGGGAGAGATAAAGACCTGCGCATGACAGCTGGGCGAAAACAGAAAGAGGACTCCAGGGGGCCAGCGCGTTAGGCCGCGCCTCCCTGGCAACGGGAGAGGGTGGGAGGCGGTCTGCCGCCGTCGATAATTGGTTGGGCTCCTGGCCAATCACGAGCAGCGAGTGGCCTTGCTCACCGTCGGGGTCCACCTTCCCGTGGGCCCGAGGCCACACTAGCAAATGGGAACAGGTCTGGCGGGAGGGACAGGCAGCGCAGCCAATGAGAGCTCCCGACGGCCATGGGCGGGGTGAGGCCGCTGCCAGGTTTAGGGCGGAAGGAGCGGCGCCGGGTAGGAAGGTGAACGAAAGATGGCGGCGGAGTCGCTGCTGTCCGGTCTGTTGGGGCTGCTGCTTCTGGGGCTCCTGTTACCCGCAAGTCTGACGGGCGGCGTCGGCAGCCTGAACCTAGAGGAGCTGAGCGAGATGCGCTATGGGATCGAGATCCTGCCGCTGCCTGTCATGGGAGGCCAGGTGAGGAGGCGTGGAGCAAGGGAAAGGGGAGAGGGAGAGCGAGAAGGGCCGCCGTGCAGTCCGCCGCGGGCGCCCAAGAGCAGCCGGGCGGGGTAGTGGGGGTCACGATGACGGCGGAGGGTCGTTGCCTGAGACCGCTCGCCCCGGGGCCGGGCCTGGGAGCGGTGGGGGCTCCCGCTGTCCGCCTCGGCTCCTGATCGGCACCCAGACTGCGCCGCGGAGAAGCGGGAGCGCTCGGCCCCGCACCGCCGCAGGACCTGGGGCGCGTTCTGACGTGGCTGGGCTCTTCCCGGGTCCGGACGGGGGTCCCCTGGTTGTCGCTGACCCCGCCTCTCTCAGCCTCCCTGCCCCCCGACCTCCTCCTTTCCCAGAGCCAGGCTTCCGACGTGGTGATCGTCTCCTCCAAGTACAAGCAGCGCTACGAGTGTCGCCTGCCGGCCGGAGCTATTCACTTCCAGCGCGAAAGGGAGGAGGAGGCACCTGCCTACCGAGGGCCTGGCATCCCCGAGTTGTTGAGCCCAATGAAGGATGCTCCTTGCCTGCTGAAGGTGAGAGGGGTTGGGGAGAACGGAATGCGGGCCCGGGAGCTAGCTATCCGCGTGGGAGCCAGAGTGCCCCTGAGCGAAGAGGGTCGAGAGGACCTGTGGGAGTTAAGGCGATTGGAGGAGTAGACATTGTACAGGCAGGAAAGAAGCAAAGGACCGGCAACCACTGATGACATTTTGCTGAATGAAGAGGAGGGCTAGGATGGAAGAGCTCCGAGTCATGGCTAAGCCAAGGTTGAGGTGCCTGAAGGGGGTCACTGTAGGCAGGAGAGAAGCCCTCCCTGTAAAGTCACCCCTGCCTCTGTCACTCTCGGCCCAGTGTCCTATTTTACTTTCATCATGGCAGTTTTCATGATCCGAAGTCATCTTACCGACTGAATCGCCAGCTTATTTATTTTTGGCCTGGAATGTGGGTACATGAGGTCAGAGCATTTATCTTGTTCACAGCTGTATCGCCACTGGCTAGAACAGCCCACTGAAAGTTGTAGAAGTTCAATTAATATTTGAATACTCTATATTTTCCTGGTCCGAGTGCTTCGCGGATGCCATGATGTTTTACCTTTGTGGAAGGCAAAGAAGGATTTTTAAAAAGTCTTTTCAAAGGAAGGAGTGAAAAGACCACAGGTAGAAAACATACTCTGGAGGTATTTCTTCCAGTCACAGAAGGAAAGCAGCCCTTCCTCCTCACTGAGATTCTGGAGAATTGAGTGTGGAAGCAGAGGGGATGAGAAGTAGTTGAAAGGCTATGTGTCTTGGAGCCAGGAGAGATTCAGTTTCCAGGCAGAGACGTCCTGCACTCTATCCCCTTGATTGTTCATTTTTTTTATTGTCAGACCAAGGACTGGTGGACGTATGAATTCTGTTATGGACGCCACATCCAGCAGTACCACATGGAAGGTGACTCACGCCTACATTTTCCCTAAGCCCTCAGCAACACGTCATGGAAGGTGACCTGCCTCCCCAGTCCCCTTCCCTCTTTGTCCTCTTAGAAGGGAGTAACGGTGCTTCACTGTGGTTTCTCTTACAGATTCAGAGATCAAAGGCGAAGTCCTCTATCTTGGCTACTACCAATCGGCCTTCGACTGGGACGATGAGACAGCCAAGGTGGCAAGAGTTTGGGATTGGGAGAGAACGGGGTCCTGGCTGTAGACTAAGCACCCTGACAAGAAGGGGTGGGTCAGAATTAGCTGACATGTTGTTTGGGGCTTGGTGGCCATTAGGACAAAGTGCCATTCTTCCTCTTTGCTGTCTTTCCTTCCACCCCTGCCCTCCTTCTTGATGTCCTCCCCAGGCCTCCAAGCAGCATCGCCTGAAACGCTACCACAGCCAGACCTATGGCAATGGATCCAAGTGCGACCTCAATGGGAGGCCACGGGAGGCCGAGGTTCGGGTGAGTCTCAAGAGAGGGAAATGGACACTCCCTCAGTGACAATTTAGATTCTAAGGGAAGAGGGCGGGGTTGCAGGTTATACTCTAGGAGGTCTCTTGCAGACTCCAAACTCTAATTTTAAGACTCCTTTCTCCAATTGGTAGCTGGACGCCACTGCCCGGATAGTCTGAGGCACTTCACATCTGCATTTCCCAAATCCTCTCCTCAGAACCCCTAGCCATGCCTATTCTTTCTTCCATGTTTCATCTCTTTATCACCTAAGCTAGAAAGCTGAGCATCATTCCTGACCCTTCCTTTCTTCGTTTAACGTCAGTGAGGTTGTACTGGTGTCGGCATGGCCCTCTGCTCTGGGGATACAGTGATGGACAAACATTCAGACCCTTCCCTAGACAGGAAGACATGTTAACAAAAAAAAAAAAAAATCAGAAATGAGTCTGTGACTACAAACTGAGGAATGGTGTGAAAGAAAGGAATTTAGTAAATCAGTTAATGACAAAGCCAATTCATTCTACCTCTAGATTTCTCTGACCACTCTCTTCTTTCCTATGGTTGGTGCCTTCATCTCTCACCTGCATTACTACCATCAGCCTCTTAACAGGTGTTCCTGATCTAGTGGTCCTTAACTGAATTCAGGCAGGCAGATTTATGGTGGGAAAGGTTCTTCAGGTGCTTTTAATGTGTATTCACAAATGTAAACACCTATAGAGACCAGAATTACACACCTGATCACACAAGAATTCTCTTTCTGTAATACAGACTTGCACATGCAATTGTGTTCTGGTAGATGTTGAACACTAATCACCAGTATAGAGCAGTGGAGGGGGAGCCTTGATTTGTAACATTTGTTGATATCTGTGGTATAAATATTCCTATCATGGCCAGATTCATGCTATCAATGTGTTGTCAACCATCTTGCAACATTCCTGAAAATTTACCAGTTGGCTGTTGTGAACTAGTGGGAGCTGACTCCCATCATATCAGTATAGCAAGTATTACTTCTCTGTCCTCTCCTGGAAAACCTTCAGTGATTCTGCTTTGGCACAGAGGCTAAGATCCAAATACTTCAGCAATGTGAGGGTGGCTGGGGAGTGGTGGGAAGCCCTCAGATTCTGGATGTATTTTGAAGGTGGATCCAATGAGATTTGTTGATAGATTGGATATGGACTGGAGTCTGGTATGACTCCAGGGTTTTTTAGCTTGAGCAACTGCCATTTGCTAAAATGGAAAGGAATAGGGGGAAACAAGGTTGATGTTAGACATGGGAAGGTCAGAACGACTATAGACACCCAGTGGTGATGTCCAGTTGGTAGTTGGCTCTGTAATTCTGGAGATATAAATACTCATTGTGTTTCTTCCCCACTGGCCTTCTTTCTGCTCTTTGAATCAGTGGGTCTCCTTGTTCCTTCTGCATAAAGCTGTCTTCCCCCAGGTTTTTGAGTGCTTGGCTCCAACCCCTCATTCAGGTTATATATCCCTGTGACACCTTCACAGGGAGCCCTAATGCAGGCACACACAACACACACACCCTTCTGCCCCCATCCTGGTAAAGACCTGCAGTGTTTTATATTCTTCAAAGAGTGTATCATTTCCTGAAATTATCTTATTTGTTTGAGTTTAATATTTTTCTTGGTCTACCCTGACTAAAATAAGTTCCAGGAAGGCAGGGACTTTTTTTTTTTTTTCCTTTTATTTTTTGTCTGTCTTACTTTGTGCTGTATCCTTGGTGCTTGGAACAGTGCCTGGCACCAAGAAGGTGCCCAGAAATTATTTGTTGAATGAATGATAAACCAATTCAGATGTTTTTTTTGTTGTTGTTTCTTTTTTTTTTTTTTTTTTTAAAGATTTTATTTATTTATTAATGAGAGACATACAGAGAGAGGCAGAGACACAGGCAGAGGGAGAAGCGGCTCCATGCAGGGAGCCCGATGCAGGTCTTGATCCCGGGACTCAGGGGTCACGCCCTAAGCCGAAGGCAGGTGCTAAACCACTGAGCCACCCAGGGATCCCCCAATTCAGATGTTATTTATTTCATGTGAACTTTTGGCTTACCCAGAAGGTTAGTTAGGTTTCTTCAGCATTTCATATACACATATCCAAGTCCACATATATCCATGGCCTAGTCTATTTGGACTGCTAGAACAAAATACCACAGACTGAGAATCCTATAAACAGAAATTTTTTTCCTTCCAGTTCTGTAAGTTGGAGATCAGGGTGCTAGCATGTTTGGGTGAGGGCCCTCTTCCAGATCATAGACTTGTTATTTATTCTTTCATGATAGAAGGGGCTAGGGAGCCTGTGGAGCCTCTTTTATAAGAGCATTAATCCCATTCGTGAAGGTTCCACCCTTATCACCTCAGCACCTCCCAAAGGCCCCACTTCCTAATACTATCACATTGGGCATAGATGTTTAGGGGGATACAAACATTCAGACCATAGCAACCCACAGGCATTTATTATCTTTTAACATATATAATCTATTATAGCACTTGCTTTATTATATTCTTTTTTTTTCTTGAGATTTATTTATTTATTCATGAGACACACAGAGAGAGGCAGAGACATAAGCAGAGGGAGAAGCAGGCTCCCTGCAGGGAGCCCGATGTGGGACTCGATCCCAGGACCCCAGGATCATGACCTGAGCCGAAGGCAGACGCTCAACCACTGAGCCACCCAGGCATCCGTCTTTATTATATTCTAATTATTATTTTTTAAAAGTGGACTCCATACCCAACATGAAGCCCAGTGCAGGGCTTGAACTCAAGCCCTGAGATCAAGACTTAAGTTGAGGTCAGAAGTCAGATGCTTAAACAGCTGAGCCACCCAGGCACCCCTATTTCTTGATTATTATCCGTAGCTTCAGTAGGCCAGAACTGAGGGCAAAGACTGCATTTTCCTCCTGTTGAATATATGTCCTAGGCTACACTGTATAGAAACTGGGGATAAAATGGTGACTGAAACACCTAGTCCTGCTCTCAGGAGATGGATATTAAATAAACAACCACAACGAGCGGGATAAAATCTAACCTGTGAAGTACGTGTCATAGGGGGCCACACAATAAAGGAACTGGCCGAGTCTAAGTAAAGGGGGGACTGCCTGGAGAATGTGACCTTTGAACTAACAGTTGAAGGCTGAGGAGTTGGTCCAGCAGGTGTAGAGGAGTGAGAGAGGGAAGAGACATACCAGGTGAAAGGTATGGTAAGTGCCAAAGGCCTGGAGACAAGGGGCAATTGATAGCTCTTCACGGTGACTGGAGAGAATTGTGGGAAGGGAGTGTGGGGCGTGAGGCTGGGCAAATGTTAGGGGACAGTTTACATGTCATGAAACTCTCGAGCCATGTTGAGGAGTTTGGATGATCTGAGAAATAAGGGAGGAAACCAAATGAAATATTTTAAGTGGAATGATGACATATCCAATTTTGGTTCTGAAGGCTCACTCTGGCTGGAGTGTAGCAAATGATTGGGAGGCCAGTTAGGAGATGTTTGCACAGTCCAGGTGAGAGAAGAATGTTGCCTAGGGATGAAGAAATGTGAATTTTGGGGGAACTTTAGGGGCCAGAGTCAATAGAATAAGATTCATGGGTTTCTGGCTTGAGCAACTGCATAGATGGTGGTTCCATCTATAGTATCTGTAGCTTGAGTAGGCCAAGGTATGGAGTAGAGAGAGGAATATGTGTGGTGGAGGAAAATGATGATTCTGGTTTTGAGTATGATGATTTGGGTGGCTGCAGGCATCCACATAGAGATGTCTGAGGAGGCTGTTGGATCTGTGGATTTGGAGCTTAGGAAAGGGATCGGAATTAAACCTGGAGGGCTGGGAGTCATCAGCATATTGGCTATAATTGGAATCATGGGCTGGATAAAATCCTCCCAAGGAAACAGTACCTAGTGAAAAAAGTGGAACAGAACGTTGAGGAAGCCATCATTAAAAGCATGGGCAGAAGAGGGCTTTGCCGAGAAGAAGGGGCCAGAACGGAGATGACAGTAACATATCTCAAAGAGGGACTGTCCATGGCCACAGGTGGATCTGAACCTTTCGGGAAGAGGAAAATTAAAAACTGCTCGTAGATGATCATAGGAATTATTATTTTAATAAAAGCAAAAGCAAAGCAAATAAATGCACAAGGAAATAAGAATTCACACAGTAGGCGTGGGAACCAGATGGAAAGTTCTAAGTCCTCTACTCCCAGTCTCTGGGACTCAGACCTGTGAGCAGAGGTCACTGGCGATCTTTGCTCCAGCGGTGTTAGTAGGGGTAGTAAAGAAGTGGAAGCCTTTGAAGAAGTCTGGATATGAAGGGGAGGGAAAAGGCGAGCACTAGAGGGGTTATGAGGTTGGGGAGACTGGGGCTTCGTTGTTGTTGTTTAGTGTTTTAAGATGGGAACATGTGTAAATGCTGCTGGGTGGACCTGGCAGAAAGGAGAAGGAGAATTAGAGGAGAAAGAAGGGGAAGGGAACGTGGGCAGGCCGGGGTAGGGCATTGCAGGAGAGCCGTTACCCTGAGAGCATCTAGGGTTGTCACCGGAGTGAAAGGGTGTGGTATTTGCTGGGGGGTCTGGAGGTTTCAGTGGCAGACAGTTGAAGGCATTCCTGTGGGGCTGTTTCTCATTTTTCAGTTCTCATATCCTGGTAGACCACCCATGTTCATTGCCTTCCTGATTGAGAAAACCTCCCCCTCCAGGGCAAACACTGAAGTTCCATCTTCTCAATGCCTCCTGGGTGGGAGCGGTGTGTGTGGTGTTTGGTAAAAGTGCAGCTCCCGTGGGGTTTGGGAAACTAGCCTTCTTGAATTGAACGAATCTGGATCCCTAATCTCAATACTTAGATTAAGTAAGATTTCACAGAGATCTAAGATTTCCCCTTTCTAATCTCTAATTATGAAACTTTTCAAACTTACAGAAAATAATGGCCTGAAAATCCACTGCCAGGGGACACGGATGTTAACATTTTGCAATATTTGCATCAGAAAGGAATAGGATGCTAATGATAGAGTTAAAACCCAC